CGGCAGGGGGGGCCCCCGGCCCGCCCCGTTGGCCACAATCAGTGGGGGAGCCAGCTCCTCATCCGGCTGCACCCAGGCCACGCCAGGGTCCACTGAGGAGATGGAGAGCGCAACGTCCTGCCAGCCATAGAGCTCCACTGGGGCCACGGTGTGGTCGGTGAACACCAGCCAGACACTGATTGCTGCTTCCTGGATGGGAAATCAAGGGCCACAGGGTTCAGGCAGGGGTGGGGGCCAACGGAGGGCGTGAGAAGGGAGAAACCAGTAAGCCCTGTGCTGCCACCGTTCTACTTTGCGTGGGGGCTGGTTACACCAGGCCCACTCCCCAGCTGCCCCCAGCGGCGTGCGCCTGACTCCCACGCCCACCCCTGCCTGCAGTAAGGAGAGACCCGTGCAAGGTCCAACCCTGAGGGCCCTGCTGGACGCCGGGGTCTCCACCCACCAGGTCATAGACTCAAAATCACAGAACACTAGAACTGGAAGGGACCTCGAGAGGTCATCGAGTCCAGTCCCCTGCCCTCACAGCAGGACCAAGCACCGTCTAGACCATCCCTGACAGGTATCCATCCAACCTGCTCTGAAATATCTCCAGTGATGGAGATTGCACAACCTCCCTAAGCAACTTATTCCAGCGTTTGACCATCCTGACAGGTAGGGTGTGTCTAGACTACAGGGTTTTATCGACAAAACTATACCTGCCTCTACACTACAGTAAGGCGACAGAACGCGGCAGTTTTGTCGATGGTGGTTAACCTCATTCTACGAGGAATAACGCCTTTTCTCGACAGAGTTCTGTCGAAAATAGGCGCTATTGCATCCACACTTTGCTTTTTCAAGAGAGCATCTAGACTCTCAAAAAGCGGCTTTGCTTTGTCGACAGAACTGGCTGTAGTCTAGATGCTCTTTTTCGACAGTATCTGTTGACAAAGCCTCTGTCGACAAAAGCCTGTAGTCTAGACGTACCCCTAAAGTCCAACCAGGGCCCAGCACCGGCAGGGAGGAAGCTGCAGTTTTAAAGGGCTGGCATTCCTCTGCTCACTCGGCCCACATGGCTCCACCCCGTGTCTCCAGCCCTGCACTCTGCCCCCCACCCCCGAGCGCCCCTCTCACCTGCTTTGGGGAGTGCAGGGCTGTGAGTGCCCGGCAGGTGGCCGTGAGGATGTCGGGGTGTCCTGGCTCCATGCTCAGGGCCAGCGAGAGGCCCGATACCAGCTGGGCCTGCAGCTCCAACACAGCCACCTTCTCGTCGGACACCACCAGGGTCTGCTCGCCCAGAATGGAGTCTGAGATGGGGGAGCGAACCTGCACAGGGGGACGGGGGAGAGGGGAAGGGGGGAGACAGGCAAGAACAGCCCTGCCCTCTGTCCCTCGCCCCCAGCCCCTGGGACCCTGTCCTGCCCTCTGTCCCTCGCCCCCAGCCCCTGGGACCCTGTCCTGCCCTCTGTCCCTCGCCCCCAGCCCCTGGGACCCTGTCCTGCCCTCTGTCCCTCGCCCCCAGCCCCTGGGACCCTGTCCTGCCCTCTGTCCCTCGCCCCCAGCCCCTGGGACCCTGTCCTGCCCTCTGTCCCTCGCCCCCAGCCCCTGGGACCCTGTCCTGCCCTCTGTCCCTCGCCCCCAGCCCCTGGGACCCTGTCCTGCCCTCTGTCCCTCGCCCCCAGCCCCTGGGACCCTGTCCTGCCCTCTGTCCCTCGCCCCCAGCCCCTGGGACCCTGTCCTGCCCTCTGTCCCTCGCCCCCAGCCCCTGGGACCCTGTCCTGCCCTCTGTCCCTCGCCCCCAGCCCCTGGGACCCTGTCCTGCCCTCTGTCCCTCGCCCCCAGCCCCTGGGACCCTGTCCTGCCCTCTGTCCCTCGCCCCCAGCCCCTGGGACCCTGTCCTGCCCTCTGTCCCTCGCCCCCAGCCCCTGGGACCCTGTCCTGCCCTCTGTCCCTCGCCCCCAGCCCCTGGGACCCTGTCCTGCCCTCTGTCCCTCGCCCCCAGCCCCTGGGACCCTGTCCTGCCCTCTGTCCCTCGCCCCCAGCCCCTGGGACCCTGTCCTGCCCTCTGTCCCTCGCCCCCAGCCCCTGGGACCCTGTCCTGCCCTCTGTCCCTCGCCCCCAGCCCCTGGGACCCTGTCCTGCCCTCTGTCCCTCGCCCCCAGCCCCTGGGACCCTGTCCTGCCCTCTGTCCCTCGCCCCCAGCCCCTGGGACCCTGTCCTGCCCTCTGTCCCTCGCCCCCAGCCCCTGGGACCCTGTCCTGCCCTCTGTCCCTCGCCCCCAGCCCCTGGGACCCTGTCCTGCCCTCTGTCCCTCGCCCCCAGCCCCTGGGACCCTGTCCTGCCCTCTGTCCCTCGCCCCCAGCCCCTGGGACCCTGTCCTGCCCTCTGTCCCTCGCCCCCAGCCCCTGGGACCCTGTCCTGCCCTCTGTCCCTCGCCCCCAGCCCCTGGGACCCTGTCCTGCCCTCTGTCCCTCGCCCCCAGCCCCTGGGACCCTGTCCTGCCCTCTGTCCCTCGCCCCCAGCCCCTGGGACCCTGTCCTGCCCTCTGTCCCTCGCCCCCAGCCCCTGGGACCCTGTCCTGCCCTCTGTCCCTCGCCCCCAGCCCCTGGGACCCTGTCCCCTGCCACGGAGAGGCTGCCCCCTCTCCCTCTACCCCCAGGACCCTCCCTCCCAGCCTCTGCCCTGCCTCAGAGAACTTGCCCTCTGTTCATTTGCCCATAGCCTCTAGGTCCCAGCCTGGCCAGCTTCTTCCCTGCCATGAAGAGCCTGCCCCATCTGCCTCGTCTCTGGGACACCCCCCAATCTCTGCCCTGCCATCAGAGACTCTGCCCCCCACCCCATCTCCAGCCTCTGCCCCATCAGAGATTCCCTGCCAGGAAGGGGGAATTTTCTGCATGAAGGTGGGAGGTGCCTCAGTTTCCCCCGAGTTCCCTAGGGAGTGGAAAAGGGCCGTTTGCTCTCAGGGCAGCTGAAGAGAGGTCGAGGTGGGTGTTGCCCCACGTCTGGGCCTTGCTCCCCAGCGGAGTCTCTGAGGGCAGCTACGCTGCGGTTAGGCGCCCGTGTCTGGTCTGTGCCAATGGACTCGGGACTGCAGCGTAGATGGTTGGGCAGAGGCTGCGCTTTGCAGGGTCCCCAGAGTCTGGCTCCAGCCCAGAGGGAGACATGGAGGTTGAACACTGGGATCCACTACAGCGTGGCTGGGCTCCCCGGAAGAGCTTTGGCCTTTATCCCTCTGTGCTAACCTAAGGCCAGTGCGGTGTTCCGGCTAGGGATGTTAAGTATCGGTTAACTCAATAGTCCAGTAACCCCATGAATTCTTATCGGTTACTTGGGTCGTCTATAGTCCTCGAGGGTGGGGCAGGAAGCCAGCGCGCTCTGGCCCCCACTCCTGAGGCCCCCCCCCGTCACTCTGTGCTGCTGCCTCTGTATCAGAGGCAGCAACGCGGGGTGCCAGGTGGGAGCTGGTGCTGAGGGGAGCCAGTTTAAAAACCAGCTCCCTGTGCAGACCAGCCTGTCGCCCCGAGCTGATACACAGGCAGCAGCGTGGTGTGGCAGAAGCTCCTATTGAAGGGGGGCTGAGCTCCTGGATCTGGCGCAAGCCAGAACTGAGACCTGGATCCTAATACACTTCAAATGCAGAGCTGCAGCGGGGAGAGGTCCTGGACCCGGTATGAGCCAGCATGGAGCCGGGCTGCTGGCCAACCTGCTAAAAAGTATACTGGCAAGACAGGGAGGGGAGGGGTGGGGGGGTGGAAACCCATGTCTATAGCATTAACCTATAAGCTTTTGTTTCTCAGTTCATCGACTACGCTATTGCATCCCTCGTTCCGGCGGGCTGAGAAACCCGGCTGCTCTGACAAGCCTGCCTGGGGTCCCTGCCCATGCGTGGGGAGGTGCATTAACCCCCAAGGGTGGACAAGCTTCCAGCAGGATGCGTCCCGAGAGGGCTCGCTGAACGGAGCCCACGGTGCGGAGCAGGGGCGCTGTGGGCCCAGAGCTCCAGTCTGAGGAGACAGCGAGGCTGTGCGCCTGGCAGAACGAGACCCTCGAGGGTCTGGCCCCGTGAAGGGGTTTCCTGCTAGAGCAGGGGTGGGGACTGCGCACAAGTGAGACGCAAACACCACAAACAAAAACCAACCCACCCCCTCACTGACACGGTCCCCCGCTGAGGAGACAGACGCTCCCCACATTCCCCTCACACATCAGAGCCCAGGCTAGCAGACTGTGTGCTTCAGCCCCAGGGGCAGGAGGGCAGAGATTGCCAGCATCAGCTCCCCAATGCTGGGTGGGGGCTCTGAGACTTGGGGGCCAGATCCAGGGAAGCTGAGGGCCACATCTGGCCCCCGGGCCTTAGGTTGGTCACCCCTGTCCTAGAGACTGTTCTAAAGCCAGGCCACAGCGCCGATTGTGGGGACTCGTGACACCCCTGCCCCGGCCGCTGCCCCATCAGAGCATCTGGGGCTCTCCCTCTCCCGTTCTAGTCCAGCCAGGTTCTTACACTCTGCCCCTCATGGTGGCATCTGAACGCCCCCGAGCACACCCTACAGTCTGGGCATCATGCACCCAGTCCCGGCACCAGCTGCCTCCTCCGAGCCGTCTCTGCTGGCCAGGCCTCAGCCCCCTTCCCGCCTGCCCACCGGCAGCTCTGATCCCTGCGCTAGGGAGGGAGCCCGCGGGACTGACCTGTCCGGAGCGGTGCCAGGCACCCTCCAGCTGCGCACCTGCTCCAGGGTGGTGTCGGTGAGCTCCACGCGCAGGGGCAGCAGCGGCACCCAGACGGTGAAGAGCAGCGAGGCGTGGAGCCGGCGGAACCAGAAATCGACCCGGGCCCCGCGGGCGCCCCGGTTCTCCTTGCCCCCCACGTAGACGGAGTCGCACCTGTCTGCCACCTGCGGGCCAGGAGGGCGTGGAAATGCGGACACCTGCTCAGACACCCCCATCCCTCTGCCTCCCCCCTGCCAGCCGCTGGGGACACTCCAGGCAGCAGGGAGAGGGTGTGGGCAGCAGCTAGCAAAGAGGAAAGAGAGCAGAAGGGGGCCAGCACCTCCTTACCACAAAGTGATGGAGACCACCCAGGGGCTGAGCCCCAAATGGTGTGGGGAGCCAAGGGCACTTGGTTACGGAGCCAGAGCTGGAGGAGAAAGGGGCTGGGGCCAGTGGGGATGTGGGGAGGGGACAGGAGGTGGCTGGTGGAAAGGTTGGGCTGTGGATTGGGCTTGAGGGAAATGTGGGGGGCTGAGAGCCTGAAGGGGAGCAGCAGGGGGCTCAGGTTTCTGTGCTGCCCCACTGGCTGACGACCTGGTCAGTAGTCCCACCAGACTCCCATGTAAACATTGACCTGGTAATCCCTGCTCCCTTGCCAGCCTGAAGGGTAGGGGGAGAGCTGGCGTCTCAGAGGGCGAGGACAGGGCGTGCTGGCCCATGAGGGCACCTGAGGGTGGTGAGAGGGAGCTGGCGTCTCAGAAGGCAAGGATGGGGGGTGATGGTGCAGGAGGGCACCTCCCTGTGGGGCAGTGCGCGGGTCACTTATTCCTCACCTTCAGGACCTGCTTGTTGGCGGACTCACACCCCATCTGCTCAGTGACCTCAAACACAGCTCCCCCTGTCTCCACAGCAACCAGCTTCACCGGCACCGCCTGGGGGATCCCTGTCAGGGGGGCGGTGTTCACAATCTCCTGCTCCTGGGGAGACCAAGAGGGGATACAGAATGAGACCTTGCCTCCGGGGGGAGGGGCTGCCCGGCGTGGGGACAGAACCACAAGGCCTTACCTTCACCAGCGGCACCAGCGCCCGGACGTCACGCTCCGCCACCTGGATCTCCCACACCATCTTGTCCTTCTCTGCCTCGGGGTCCTGGCCGGGGTACTCCACCTGCCAGGTGACGGGGCGCGTGGAGGCCAGGCCGCTTGTGCCGTTCTCCACTGCCAAGTCCAGGTAGAGGAACTCAGGGAAATCTGCTGCCCTAGACGGAAGCAGGAGGGAAGTGAGGAGGAGGAGGAGCAGACGACAGATACGGTGTCCCCATGGGGCTGTGGCATCTCACGCCTGCTCCATCCCAAGCCAGACAAATTCCACCCAGACACAAATGGAAGGCGACCAGAGAGAGCGACTGTCCAGTTCAGCTGCCCATGATACCCTCCTCTGATCTGATTGGTCAGGATCTGGGGGAGTAGGAACAGCTATCCTGTCCCTAGCCAATGGCATCAGACTTGTAGTCTGATTGGCTGGATGCCGGGAGAATAAAAACATAATTGCGTGGCCTCCTGCTTCCATTCAACTGGCTGACACCCCGGAGTATATTCCTGTCAGTCCCCCCGCACGAGTCGCATGGTTCCTTATGTCCTGCCCACCTGGCCAATGCCCGGGAGCAGGGCCGGCCCTAACCAATTGGTGGCCCCGAGCGACCGCCTGGCTTGCCCGTATGGTTGCCAGATGGTTTAAGAGACAAAAAAATTTGTCAAGCAAAAAAAAAAAAACCCAACCCCAACCAACCAGGGAAAATTTGTCAAGCGCAAAAAATAAATAAATAACAAGGCTGGAGTGGATTCGGGAGGTTGGGCTGAAATACAGTTGCGGCCTGACCCCTAAGACAGGCTCTGTTGCCGGCCCCTTGAAAATGGCGACTCCAGGCAGCTGCCTGGCTTGCCTGCCCCTAAGACCGGCTCTGCCCGGGAGAGGATATGTCAGTCGATCTCCTCCACGAGTTGGGTGATTCTTACCTCCAGTCCAACTGGCCAGCGTCCAGCCGGCGACAGGTGACCAGAGCAGTGTGGTGCTTGGAGCCCTTGAACTTGTCCAGCTTGGCCGTCCAGGCCTCGGGGACGGCAGGGCGGGCAGCTAGGACCTGCAGCCCCTTCTTCACCTTGATCCTGAAAGCAGCACAGTGCTGAGTCCCAGCAGGGACTCCTGAGGAGACGTGCCCCACAGCAGAGACCCTTTGAACCCCATGGGGAACCATGTGAGGCCAGCCAGGGCGTGTGTCACAGGCTGGGTCCGTACATCCCACGGGGTCTCACCTGAGGGTCAGCAGGTTGGCGGTGAAGTTCTGCTGGAGGATCAAGGTGGCCGTGAAGAGTTGCCCCGGCCGCAGCGCCATGTCGGGGACCCGGATGTGCACGTTGTCGTCCAGCCGCACCTCCTGGCGCCGCGGCGGGTCCGTGGCTCGCAGCTCCACCGCGGCCACATAGTGCAGCCTCTCTTTGGTGCCCTCGCTGCCCGGCCGGGGCCTCTCCCGTGGCCCTGCGTGGCCGCACTCCACGGACATGTCTCCTGGCCCCAGGCTGTAGTACAACTCGGCTCGCTCGGGGGGCCCGGCCGGCTCCGCAGCTCTGCGCCGGCTGTGAGAGGAGGGGGGGGTGGCGGAGAACCAGCGTGGGGGGAACGCCAGCTCCACCACGCACACCCCCAGGGGCGCCTGAGTGGGAAGAGCAAGGAGCAGGCTCAGAGACCAGGGGTCTAGTCCCAAAGTCTCCATCACACACCCAGGGGTGACACCAACCTCTGCTCCAGCCTAACCTACACCGTGCTTCCCTTCTCAGCACACAGCACCCCACTTTTCTCCAGTCCTAGATCACCTGGACCCCCAAGACCACCCCCTGAAGATGAGCTAGCCTTGTCCCAGGCAGCCCCCGACCCCTGCAGGACACGCAACCTTCATCTTCTCCATGGTGAGACTGGGGGAAGCTCCGAGGGGGTGGGGTCCGGTACTGACCTGGAGGCGGCAGGCTCCGTGGGCAGCCTGCGTGCGGTGAAACGCGTGCAGAGAGACGCAGGGCAGGTCGTGCCGTCGCGGCAGCCAATCCTGCCCCTTGAGGTGGAAGAGGACCCTGGCAGAGGGCTCGGCGGGCGACACGGCGCCCTCGAGGGACACGGCGCGCACCTCCCAGGCCGAGGCGCCGTCCCTGAGGTGCGGATCGGCTGCCGGCACTGCCTGGCAGGGGGAAGAGAGACGCAGGCTGAGCCCGGGCGAGGCAGGTCCTGCAGGACAGGGAGGAGCCCCACTGAGCCCAGAGGGGAGCGCCTCCCCCGGGGGGGGGGCGGGGTTACCTGCTTGGCAGTGAAGGGCAGGTAGGTGGCTTGGACGACAGGCTTTGCCGTGGGCGGGCGACCGAGGAGGAGGTAGGTCTCAGAGTGGGAGCCCAGGGAAGTGTTTCCCGGCAGGTACTGATCCACCCGCTGCAGCCGGAAATGGTCCGGGACGTCCAACACCTTGAGTTCGGCTGGCAGGTACACCAGGTCGGAGGGGTCCGATTCGCCGTTCACTGCGGGGAGAGGAAAAACTTGGGCTGCTGCCAGCAAGCATGTACTCCCCACCCCTCCAGGGCACATGTCCTCCCCACGCCCAGCCCCTTCCGAGGGGAGGAGACACAAGGACTGGGTGTCACTAGGATCTGGAGCGTCACAGTCCCCAAGCTATTCAAGGGGGTGGATGAAGCCTGCCCCCTGCTGGAGAAAAGGGGGCTACATGATTTGTATTACAGCAGCACCTAGAGCTCCTGCTGAGATCAGGGCCCGGTTGTGTTGGGCACTGCCCAAACACCCAGCGAGAGACAAACCCTGCCCCAGCTGAGATCAGGGCCCCATTGTGCCGGGCGCTGCCCAGACACACAGTGAGAAGGGCCCTGCTCCAAAGAGCTCACAACATTATTATTGCTCCCATTTTACAGGTGGGAAACTGAGGCACCGAACGATGTTGAGTGGCTGCCCCAGGGAGTTTCTATAGCAGCACTGGCCTTTGGACACAGACCAGCCCTGGGCATTAATCCAACCTCTCTCACAACCCAGGCTCTGGATGCAATTCCCTGCCCTGCAGCTAAGACTGGGTGATGGCATTGGTCCCTTCGGGGGGTGCAATCCTGACCTCACGACAGTTAGTGGGAAAGGTGACAGGAGCTGTAATGGGGCCAGGCTTTCACCCTCTGAATCTAAGAAAATCTTTGTCGAGATGCGTAAGGCCAGACCGTCTACAGCTCAGCGGCCAAATCAAAAGTGCTCAGCAGAGAGCCGGAGCCCTTGAAAACAGATAAACATTTCCCTTCTCCTAGGCTCTGTCTGCCCTGTCTCTTATCCTCCTAGTTCTGCTGGGCAGGGACTGTCCCTTCTGTGGGCATATGCAATAGGGATATAATAGGATATCCGTCCACACAGTTAACCGATTAGCCTGTGCTTAGCAGTTACCGTGAATGGTAACATGCAGGCTCCTGCCCCGCTCCCGGGGACCTGGCTGCCACCCTGTGCTGCTGGCTTGGATACAGCCGGCTCTCTGGGAGCGGGGCAGGAGTTGGCTTAAAAGCTGGCTTCTGGAGCATACCGGCTCCTGGGGAGCCAGCAGCCGACTCCCTGGGAAGCTGGCTGCAGCCCCCTGCTGCGGATGCGTGTAATTTTCAGCAGATACACGGTTACCCAATTACCCACTTTTTAACATCCCTAACATGTAGCACCTGTAACATGTAGTACCCACTTTTTAACATCCCTAACATGTAGCACCTTGCGCAAAGGAGTCCCACTATCTCACTTGCAGGGTGTAAGTGCAATTGTAACACAAGCAGCCTTGTGCTTGCTCCATTCTTTGAGATGTACAGAGCCAGTTAAAATTCAGATGTTTCTCCAGGGCTTCCACAGACACTGGGAGTTTCAGTGGGGCTCTGACATGATAAGAGGCAGGAGGACCAAAGCTGGGTGCCTAAGAGAGGAAGGGGCCTTGCTATCGCTCTTTGGGGCACAGGCTGTGTTTTTGTTCTGGGTCGGTACGGTGCCAAGCACATCAATTGAACACACAACACAGCATGCCAGTAGAGCCACCTACTTTGTCCCCGTATGTAAAAAAAATACGGTTGATTCCCACCCACCTCCCGCAAAAAAACAAAGCTTCAAAGTCCCTACAAAAATAACGAAAATAATCGAGTTTTTCCATCAGCCAGGTTTCCAATAACAAAAAAGCTGATATATAATTTTCAATAAAAAATACAATCACCCCCCCATCTAAAAACAAAACGCCAAAATACCAAAACACACCGTTTGCAAAAAGAGTTATTTTATTCTTCACCCAGCTCTAGAGTAGATGCCTTTTGTCAAAAAAGAATCAATATGTCGAGGGCATCTCGGCGATCCCAGAAAACAGCTCATATCAATGTTTTTAAGCATTGGGTGTGCTTTTACTCCCGAGTTCCCTGCCTTCCAAAGAGAGAGCAGTCACCCCAATCCGATGTGACTGTCAGAAATGGGGGGGGGGATCTTTACTTCACCACCACAACTCAAAGTTAGCTCCCTTTCGGCCTGCAAACAGGCTGCTGAAGGGGTCACTGCGTGCCGCTTGAAAGCCACGTCCCCAGCAGGAATTTCTCCTGGGCTGGCACCTTTCAGCGCCCGCTGGAGCCGTTTTCAGAAATGAGCTGACTTGCACGGTAAAATGTGGCAATGCCTGCCCCCGTCTGCAGAGACACAGCTGCGGCGCTGAGCCCCGTGCGAGGACAGGAGGGACGGTGGGGAGAAGGCCGAGAGGCTGGGTTACCACTGCCTAAGGGAGGAGGCTTGAAGCGTAACGGCTATAACCGCGACCTCCTGAAGAAGGAGTGTGGGGGTGCAGGGCAGCCATCCAGCAGACAGGCCTGCACGTGCACATGCAGGGGACCCCATGAAGCTACCCCACATGCCCTGCAAAGGACAAGTGCCATCTCAGCAGAGGATTCTGGGAATGTGCGGCCCCTGCTTAATGGCTCCCTTTGGCCCTTCCTGAAGACACCTTAGCAAGGCTGCCAGGCAGGGGGCCCAGTCACCCGTGGACCCCAGCTCCTTAGCATGAGGTGGCCTGGTCCAGGAGAAGGAGCCCTCAGCCCCATGCCATTCCAGCAGCGGGTGCTGTGTGTAAAGCCAACCCAGTCCTATTAATGAGCGGGAAACTGGCTGCCCAGCACTGATCTGTCTGAAGTGTACGGGGGAGAGGGGGAACCCAGAGTCCAGCCCTTTGGCCCCAGCAGTGGGGCAGGCAGACCCACCAGCAGAAAGGGCTGTGGGTCAAGGCCCTAGGTCTGTCTCTCAAGCCCTGCAGCTTTGTACATTAACCCACCAGGCAAGCTTCCCATCTGTGCCCAATCCACAGCCCTGGGCTTAGCTCCTGCTTTTACCTCCGACGGTCCCCGATTCAATCGCGAGGGTCAGTTCAGAGCTGGGGCGAGCTGCAAGCCAACAAAGCAGTTGCATAGGGCCCCAAGCAGCTCCCCGGTTCCCTTTTATTTTAGGGGGCTGTATGGGGCCCCCTAAAATATTCCTGCTTAAGCCCCCAATGGGCCAACGTGGTACCGGTCACAGATCACGGGGGCAAGGGGTCAGACGTATGTGGTAAGACACCCCATGACGGTTCTTCCAGACAAGCCAGCTCCAGCCACACACAGGCCTGGAGCTCACCAACCCTTCCTCCCCAGCTGGGACGACACGTCGGGGGTCCCCAACCCTGCACCCCCATCCGCAGCCAGATGTGACACTCAGCCAGCCAGTAGAGTAGGTTTATTGGTTCACAGAGATGCAGCGTAGCTTAGGGTCAATGTTAGCACAGAGCCAGGGCAGATGGCTCTATTCCTCTCGGGGGAGGAGGGCCTTCACTCCCTTCCTTGGTCTAAAACTTCCTCCCTCCTCCTAGCCCAGGGGAGACTGACTCACCCCCACGTAAAACTTCCTCCCTCCTCCTAGCCCAGCAGAGACTGACTCACCCCAACAGTCCCTGCTCACTTGCCCTCCTTCCAGGCCCAAGGTGCTATAAGCGGTCACCTGGGCCTCAGGATGTGAGAGACTGCACATACTTCCCCAGTGAGTCACACCCAGCCTCCCCCTCCTCATGCAGCTACAGGGCCTGGGGAAACTGAGACATGCGTGCGCGTGCACACACACACACACACAGACAGCGTCACTACAGAGCAGCATAGGGCATGCGTGCGCGTGCACACACACACACAGCGTCACTACAGAGCAGCATAGTAGAGTAGGATCACATATAACCCCCTAAGACAAACGGTGAATGCAACACCAGAACAAACACAGGATTACAAAAATAGACAGCGCCCCCACTAGGTTACACCAGCACAGCCAGCACCAAGATTTCTGCTTCCCCCCTCAATCAGTCAGCCTACTGAATGCTGCTTTCCCCTCTGCTGTGATTCCTTATCTCCCCTGCCCCAGCCCCTGTCCCCCCGGGAGGGAGCAG